GGGAAAGAAAGGCAGTCACACTGCTGTTTCCCCTTTTGTTATGGGAGGAAAGGACAGCATCCCTGCAGCAAGAGCCGGGCCCTTCCTCCCGCATCAGTGTAGTGAGGAGAGGCCTCGGGCGAAGCAAGTCCTGTGGTCAGGGCTTCAGTCAATGTTCACGTGGCTCAGACCTTTGATTAGGCCTCCAGGAGGGTTACAGCCTGAGTTGAATCAGAAAAGAAGGATGCTCTCACCATCTGTCTCCATGTCAACCAATGACCAGTGCGGTGGGATTCCCATGTTCCCCTCCTGTGTCTACTCCTGCTCTGTGCGTAGTTGGATTCAACCCACATGGGTAACCATCCCCTTCAAAAGATTTCCTCTCCCTTCTCTCCCCACCATGCCGACCCCGGCCCCCCTGCCCTCACACGTATACTCCATGCCGTAGCTTCCGTCCAGCGGTCTCTCGAGAAGGATGGAAATGACTCTGTTCCTGTGAAAGATGGTCAGTCTTGTCCTTTTCACATACGCCCTTTAAATGTGAAGATTCCACACAGGCAGCACTTGATTGAGCTCATCAGAAAAGTCCTAACTGCTTATCACTGGAAAGAGGTATAAGATTCCCGGTCCAAGCCACTCATGCTCCAGATGGAGACTGGAGGCCTGGTATGGTTAACTGGCTTATCCTGAGTCCCCGGTTCATGGCAGCCTGGAACCCCAGCCTTCTGCTTTTACTCCAGAGCTTACAACCATTTCTGTTATTTTATGAAACACCAGTTCTGATTCTTGCTGGGTTATCAAGCACTTATGTTTTCGAAATGACAGTGCTCTTGGGTGGGGAGGGGACTGTAAATAAAATAATGATAATAGAAAGGAAATATCAGAATATACTTCAAATAGACTGAATTTACTATTAGTGGTGTGACTTTGGACTTTATTGAAATCAAAACAAAAGTTATTACACAAACTTTTTTAAAATTAACCTTTTTTGGCAGTCTCCTTAGAGATAATAATGATCCTGGTGGCTTTTCCTGCTAATGCATCTAATCCTAGTATATGTAAAATAATTCCCTTAAAGAACTCTATACTATTTGGTTCAACCCAAGTGGGGAAAATCACCTTCAAATTTCTGCTCGTAGCCCTCAAGGCAGATCCTCCTGTTCTTTAAGCCTGGTAGTGGTCAGAGATGCTGGGACATTGTCATCATAGTAATAGTAATAATAATAACAATCATAGCAAACACACATACAGCATTTATGATGTAACAGGCCTGGTTCTAACTCATTTAATCATCACAACAGTCTTTTGAGATAAGTACTAACAGTATCCCCATTTGCAGCCAGGGAAACTGAGGCACAGAAAAGTTAAGGGATCTGCCTAAAATCGCACAGTTAGTAAATGATGGAAACTGAAAGAGAGAAAAAGAGTAGTTCTGGGCAAGTGCAAATTTTAAAGATCAAATTGCATGTAGGGAGTCTGAAGATTACCAAAAACTTTGAGCCCAGCTCACTAAAACATTATAGTGATTAATGTCATAATCGTTCAGGCATTTTTAATTCCTCTAACACAGTTTAATACATAAACAGGAAAAATCTGGGAAGATAAAGTGTTCAGTGACACTGGTATTAGAAGAACTAATATCTCAGACTGTAAGTACCAGTCACTAACATTTATCTCTCGGTGCCAACCCTTGGGAAATTAGTATTACTAATCCTGAGCTTTTTTTTTTAAAGTGACAGAACTAAATTACCAGCAGCCAGGGCTGAAACAATAAAGTTTTAGAAATGTACTTTAAACCCATTAGGCCTCTCGGCAAAGAGTCAGGTGATGCTTAATGTAGGTGAAGCATTTTTACTTTTAATTAAGCATGTAATTAAGCATATTGATTCTTTGGTCACACTAACTTAAATGGAGACAATGAATCTTTCTTTGAAGATTTGTTTTAAGTAGCATTATTTCCTCTTCACTGAGAACCATTTGCAGATGACATGGGATAGACTGCCAGCTTTGTAGTTCTACACGTCTTGGCCCATCCTTTGGGCCCCAAAATATTCTCTTGAATATCTCTTGAGGTTCCTTCTCACCAGGAGAGATAATGGAAAAAAAGACTCTGCTATAGGGCTTCCCTGGTGGCGCAGTGGTTGAGAGTCCGCCTGCCGATGCAGGGGACACGGGTGCGTGTGGGCCCGTGAGCCATGGCCGCTGAGCCTGCGCGTCCGGAGCCTGTGCTCCGCAATGGGAGAGGCCACAGCAGTGAGAGGCCTGCGCACCGCAAAAAAAAAAAAGACTCTGCTATAGCTGTTCCCATTAAACTCCCTGAACACTCTCTCATCCCAGAGATGTCTCTGACTTTTGTGATGTGTCAGTATCGGGGAAGGGAATGTACAGTCATTAAGTCTGGATCTCTTTTTAAATTGCTTATGATTTCTTTTATTTATCATCCCCTAATGAATAGTTGCCCTCTATAAAGAACAAACTTTTTCTTCCAAGTTGCAAGCAGAAAAAAAAGAACTTCCATTTGCATTCCTTGTGAATAATTAATAGCTTTCTGTCTTCATTTGTTTTTGTTTTCACCTTTTTAATGCTGATTTTTTACCTAGAAGAGTACTGTGTGGAGTTTGTCTATTTCTTTATGCAGGTTAACCTTATTCTTCTCATTTTATTCCTTAGGACAGTCCATTATTTCATTATGGTTTTTTGTGTTTTTTTGTGTGTGTGTTTTTTTTTTTTTGCAAAGTCCATCCTTAGATGATATCACATTAGTGCTTCCACAGATTAATCCGATGGATAGAAAGAAAGTGTATGAAGTGATATCTCGTCTCTAAGCCTTCATCTCTGTCCCTCAGAAGCACGCATTTGAAGCCACATTACAGCTCTCGTCCAGAATTCTCACCCAATAACCATCCATGCATTCATCTGTTTGTCAAACGCGTAGTGTGCTCGTGATAGGAAGGTGACTCAGGCAGCTCCCAACTTGGGAGAATTTCCAGTGTCAGGGAGGCAGGGCTACGAGCTGAAGGACTTAGAGGGAGGTGCTTAGAATGTCCATCCTACTGTTCCTATGTCTAGTCCTCAGTGTTACCAATCCTGATTCGTCCTGAGCTGACCTTCAGGTGACCTTTACTCCTATGTAAAATAATTTAAAAGCTTGAACATAGCCTGGAAATTTAAGGAGGAAAAAATACCAGTAGTTCAGTACTACTTTAAAAACATGGAGTAAGGTGAAAAACTGCTTTGACCGGGGCAGAAATGGAGAGTGGTACATATAGCAGTGCCCTCTCCCATTTGAATCTTGAGGAACACGCTCACCATTGTGTTCTGTGTGGTGAGGACACCTTTCAGGCCTGAAGGATATATATATACAGAGCTCACTGGGAAGTTTGGGGAAGCTTGCTTCGGGGATCTGCTCCTGTAACCCCCCAGTGCTCCACAGGAGGGCAACAGAGAGCGCAAAATGGATTCATTCCTGAGCAGGGTTGGGCCACGAGGAGGGTGAGCAGGGTTCCTCCAAGGTCTCCAAGGGTGATGTGCCCTGCTGACAGTGGGGCACCTCGGAAAGGCACGCTGTAGAGTCATGAGCTTAATTATTTATGATGCTGGACAATTTCTTGGAACTTTGAGGCAGAACATGCATGCCCAACTCATGAATCATAGCTCGAGTCATCATTAGTATCTACCACGCTATGGACTTGTGCCCTATTCGCGGGTATCTCTCACAGCTTTCCCCTGCCCCTGTGCATCGCTGGAACAGGGTTTATCTCTGAGGAAATGGTGCCTTTCTAGAAAGAGATAAATTTGCTTCTGGGTATGAACTTAGTCCCTATAAGTTAAGTTTCCAAGTCTGTGGACTGATAGCAAACATACACATGCATCCTGTTCTTACTCATTGGAAAACAAAGTTCAAAAGTGATTCAAAACTGCCAGTTAAAAAATTTGCCTAATGTTCATTTTACCATATAAGAATCCTGCTCATTCCTACATAGTGTACTCCCCCTTACCTGTCCAACCCTGGTTTTACTTTTCCCAGCTTGCATTTTCTGCCACATTTAGAGAACTCACCTCAGTGTCCCCTGACATATAGTATGCTCAATCCCAGCCTTAGTTTTTCCCTGATTTTCTACTTCCCTGAGCTATCCTTTCCCAAGAGTGATTTTTCTCCTAATTCTTTAAGGCCCAGCTCTGGTTCCCTCATTCCAGTAGACCTTCCAGGTGTGATTCTTATCGGGGTCTTTCTCTTCTCTGGTGCCTGTTGGTCTTCTGTGTGATATTATGTATAAACTGTGCAAAAATGCTTTCGTGCTCTAACTACCATACACTGCCTGAGTTGTGTGTTGATGGCAATGATGCCTTTGAACCCCATTGGGCCTAATAAAGAGCTAGACCGACTTTGTGATTGGTTGATCCTTAAAGTTTGCTTTTCTTTGGATTGTCTTTTAATCTATAGGTTCATCTCTTCTGTTTGGCAGGTCAAAAAAATTCCAGTCCTTTATTGAGAGCTGTTTGGTAAAGAATCACAGCCAGCGACCAGCAACAGAACAACTGATGAAGCATCCATTTATACGAGATCAACCTAATGAACGACAGGTCCGCATTCAGCTCAAGGACCATATTGATAGAACAAAGAAGAAGCGAGGAGAGAAAGGTGAGACACACGTTTGTATTTCAGCGAGGGAAACAAAAGACCCAGTGAGTCATGGGCTCTTGAGGTATTGGAGGGACGGTGGGGATTTCAAATAGGCCTGCATTGTTCTTTAGTGTGAAGGGCTGCCTCTGAGATCACAGCCTGTGGGCAACACTAGGGGGGAGGCTGCTGAAATGGAATCTTTCATGAAAGAATAGAACCTCGGGAAATATTACCTTTTCCAGGCACTGAACAAAAAGTCATGTTGAGTGATACTATGAAGTGGTTTAATACGACAAGTGATTTTCTTAATTCAAATGAATATTCATGTTTCGAAGACTCAACATCTACAGAAGACAGGCAACCTTAAAAAAATAAACCCATCTAGTTGACATTTTTCAGTACTGGCACTCTTCACCATTTACGTTTTCGTGCTCTGAGACTCATTTCTAATTTAGTTATTTGGAAGTCAGAATGACTTTTATTACAGTCAAAGCGATGTAAAAGAAGTTGCCAAGCTGCTGTATGGAACATCACATGTTCTTCTTTATAGATTCAAAAACTCTTTTCTCTTATGACTCTAGCTGTTAGACTATACTACCTTTTCACTGCATCACTGGAAAAGACACGAGACCAAACCTGGGGCCCTGGGACTGTGCCTAAGTTGTTTGAATAGAGACGCAAAATTCCTTAACTAGCATCCTGACCAAGGTGAAAACTCACGTGGTCCGGGGCAGGTTTTATGACTTAGTTGGGTAGGGAGGTTAGGGAAGGTTGAGGATGGGAAGGAAAGGGGGGGATGCAGAGAACAGACAAGGTGAGAGCTCCCTGGTGGGAGGAGGAGGGGGCAGCTGGCCAGGCTGACAGTGAGGGGGCGTTAGAGGGATGGCCAGGTGAGCACTGAGCATGTGGGGGGTGGGGGGGCAGGTAGAGAGCAGAAGGGGAGGCCAGGGACCGAGGGTAGGAGGTACATGGTGATGTGCTTGGCTCCACTTCTGTACTCTCCATCTTTCTCCTCTGTTCTTCACGATCCAGACGGAACGGGGAGGGTGGTGGGCAGCACAGAAGAGAGGGTGCGCTCCTTTTATTTGAAGTTCACCTCTTTTGCCTCTGCAGTTAATATCTTCAGGTGGCAAGGTATGAGCATGGTCCTAGGGGTGGGGTGGTGAGCCCTGTAGGGGTCAGGACTGGGAAGAGGTAAGTTCAGCAGAAGCTAAGGGAGGAGAAATCCTCGGTGAAGCTTCAAGGGAAGAGTTCCTTCTGTGCAGCCGGCCTCAGGGGCGCAGGAAAATGTGTGATCAGGTTAGACTCAGGAACGGGAGGTTATGAAGCTAATCCAAAAAGGAGGCTCATCTTCAGTCGTTAGTGGATGGAGAGGGATGAGGCATCAATCAGGGCCCAAGGAGTTGGGAGGGCAGCCCAAGCTGGAGGAACTAAGCTGGAGAGATATAGATGAGTCAGGTCAAAAAGTGCCGGAACTGATTTTTCAACTGCTACTTATTAATAGTGGTCTTGGGCCCCTCCATGAGGTCAGACTTTTAAAGGGAAGAGTGTAGTGTTAATCAACTATACTCCAGTATGAAATAAAAAGTTAAAAAAATAAAAAATTTTAAAAATAAAGATAAAGGGAATAGTTTAGGGCAGTGTGTCAGACATGCCGACCATTAAAGGCCAACTTTTCTAAAAAGAAAATTTATTTTCCTATAGGTATATAGAATAGGTTAAGTACTCGGACTCTTCTTTTCAGACTCAAATTCTGAGTTCAAATTTTACTTCTACCCCTTAATGGTTATGTGAACTTCACCCCAGTTTTCTCATCTTTAAAACAGGAATGGGGGTATAATAATAATTAGTATTGTCTGGCATTTTTGCAAAGATTAAATGAGATGTTACATGTAAAATGCTTAATACAATGTCTGGCACATAGATGTACTGAATAAATGTAAGCTATCCTTATTTAGACAATTCTTATTGACCTACAATTTTTCAGTACCGTTCAGGGTTACTTTCTGAGATCATGTGACCTCTGCCTCTGACCTGTGAGTAAGAGTGGGTAAAGCTTGTGCCTTGGATTGTTTTCACATTTTGGGGGCGCAAACTCTAGAATGTGACTTAGAACTCACCACCCCACGAAAACAGACTCTTTTTAATGTGTTCCCTCTCTGCAGGGTAAAGAGTAAGATCCTTGGGAGTAGGCTTACTCGAGAGTTGCGTGATGATTTAAGGAACCTCATTCTGTTTAGGCTTCGAGCCACCAGCAGCCTTCTTTTTGGTCTGATCCCCAAGAAGGAGTGTTGCTCAAAATGAGACTTCATTCCAGTTGCTCGGTTTGATTAAATGACTTAACTTGCTCCTTCTAATATTTTTTCATTCTCTTAGTAGCTCTAAGACCAGCTTCTGGTAGAATCAAAAATTTTTAATGTGCATTGCTTTGTGATTTTTTTTTAACCTGATACTATTTTTTCCTTCAGATATGTTGATACATTGCTAATTTAAGCCACTAATATAAAAGCAATCACGCTGGATTCTGGTGAAGTATTATAGTTGAGGAGATTGACAAATGAAATTTTTACCCTAGAGAGGAGAAATAATTAGATTAATTGTGTGCTTCTTTTCCTTGCTATAATTTACATTACTAGATAAAATTTCTGCATTTTACTTTGAACTCTCTGTTGATTCGTTTAAGGAAAGTTTGGAATATTAAACTTTCAATGTGGAACACTGAAACACTTTATGAAGGTTCGTTACATTTTCATAAAATAGTACTTTCTAAAAAGTAGCCTGAAAACTTCATACTTATCTAAACACGTGAAGCTAATTTTTACATGATTTTTAAAAATACTCTTGAAGTCATCGTGCTATGGCTTCCTTTCATCATCCCTTTAATGGCTAAATAGTATGGAAAGCAAAATGTGTTTATGATCAAATTCCATAGTTCTCATCATGTGACTGCTGCCTCCTGGTGGTAACATAACCAAATTGCAATTTCAGTTTCTTTTCAGGGATGTACAAATGTCTTCAAAGGTGTAATCACTAACACATAGCTATCAAGGGATGATAGCCCTGTGACAACCTCCCTGCTTAAAATGAAAAGCTCCGCCAAAGTCTCCCCATTGCCTACGGAAAAGTCCTCAGCATGGTATATATAAAGATCATTAAGCTACATCAGACCTGCTGGGCTTTCTCACTCCATCTGCTTTCTCACACCAGCCACTCACAACTCAGTATTTCCTGAACATTCATGCACTATAATACTGTTAGCCTTACTCAGGTGGTTATGTTGCTTAGAATGCCCCTTTCCCAGCACTTTCAGCTGCCATCTGCCTAAAAAAGGGCTACTGATCTTCCAAGGTCCAGCTCATTTCTTCCTCAGAGACTTCACTGTTCCCTTCCCCCATTATGACCCATGGACTTAGCTGCTTTTTTGTCTGATATCTCATTGCTTTTTTTATGTAGTATACAATGTGTTGGAAAGAATGCTAATTATGAAGTTGGAGAAATTCTGGGTTGAATTCTGAATCAAAATCTCAGATTTATTGGCATATTACTAAACTGCTTATAATCTTTGCTTGCAAAACGGGTATTATGTTAAAGGATTGTTATGAGAAGTACATGAGAGAACATAAGTATCTAGCATAGTGACCAGCTTGGGCAATACCCAATAAAGATTAGTTCTCTTTCTTCATAATCATGGAGATTCTGATTATTTACTTATCTATCTTGACCGTTAGATTCTAATCTCCTCCGAAGCAAAGACTCGATCTTGTTCATTACGGCATGTTAACTTGCTTAATATATTAGGGAATTAAATGAATGTCCCCAGTGGGTCAATCGAAACACATTTAACTCTATATTTTTAAAAGCACACGTTGTCAAAAGTTTCTGTCTGGTATTAAGATATCTAAAGGCAATTTGTGAGTCTATGTAAGTCATAATAAAATTCCTACGTAAAAAATGATTACTCCTTGTCGGTAAGTTAACAGTGGCCCAATAAAAGATTGGGTTAGGTGGTCCTATAATGGGAGTTAACACAAACTGAAAAGTTATGTTTCAGCTCCTTGTCTTCCCTTTCCCGTGAATGCCAGGCATTAGGGAGAGAATCTAGAGTCGGCTGGGGCAATCTTGGATGTTAATTCCATGTGCTTGAATCTAGCTGGTGGGCACTGTTGGATCACAAGTCAGGAGGCCTGGAGCCTGTCCCAGATCCGCATTAAGGACAACTCTTTGGGCCTCAGTGTACTTATACATAAAATGAGGGCATGAGCTTTACCGAGCTGTAGCGTCTTTCTGCGCACTGATGTTCTGCGGGTCTCTCTTTAGATGAGACGGAGTATGAGTACAGCGGGAGTGAGGAGGAAGAGGAGGAAAATGAGTCGGGAGAGCCCAGGTGGGTGAGCCAGAGCTGTCTTCTTTGCACTGTGGTTGTGTGAAATTCACGTCCTTTTGATTTACAGGTTCATTTTTAAGAATCCAGCAGGGTGGTCTTATTTAATCTGTTGCCCACAAAGGTACTCATTAATTTGGGAAAATTTCCCTAGGCAGACTCTTACAAGAACATGGAAATCACGATATTCTTTATCTTGTCTTTCAAGATTTGTTTCCTTGTTTCCTCACCTGTGTAACATGTAGAATGCGTAGGAGGCAATTATCTGGGTAATACAGGTCTAAAAGTGCCTAAAACTGCAACTTTCTGGAGACCAAAGTGGTATTTTTGGACTTGAGTTATCCAGTCCATTACTTCATAGCTTTGAGACATTTAGGTGGCCACTGTCCTCGTCACATGGCGTGTGTTTTCAACACAGCCTAATCCAAGAGGAAACAGTTTCCAGGAAATCAAATTACACTCTAGAGGTGAACTCTAAATAGAAACTTCCACTCCCATTCCTGTTGTCATACGTTGGCCCCCAGAATCAAGTGCTGCTTTATTATCATCATCCCTATGTTTTGAATTTCACTTGACTTTGATTCTGACTTTCTTCTAGTCTGTGTTCATAAGTAATTAATGCCAGTGTGCTCACACTGCCAGGATTTCTCTTTTGTAAGAGAATTCAGCTGATGGCAGTTTGGTGAATCAAGGGGCATGGGCATGCACACCGGGGCGGATGCACTGTACATGTGAAGTGAGATTACTGAGGGAAATGCACAAAGCAGAAGGGTCACTGGGGTATATGGGTCCCCATCCTCTAGCCATCCAAGGAAGGGACCCAGTACTCAATAAGGAGCAGTTCTTATACGACTGAGGCAGAGCTTCTGAACCAGGGAAGGGGCCAGTTCAGCCACTGCTGCTAGAATAAGCTAGTGCACTCCTTTTTTCTGAGCTAATTCAGACCTACCAAGCTGGATTATTGCTAAAACTACTGGAAGAGGATGGGATTGAGGTTACAGGGCCATCAGTTTTTCTCTCTTCACCTGTTATGGGAATTTTCAAGGTCAAAGACTGAAAGAGAAGTCTTTCCTTCCATCTGGACACTTAATATGTTTTCTTCCCCTAGTTTAGCTGCATAAATAGGGGACTGCCAAGTAGTGACATGGAAAATGAACATTCTTGTAAAGCAAAGGACCAAATGCCTTGTTTTCAGAGTCATACGCTATTTTTCCAAAGCTCACCCAGACGGACATGTCAGCCCTTCTGATCACTCTCCATGGAACTGAGAACCAACCTCACCTTAACTAACACTTGCTAAACCGCATGTTTGGAGTCACTTACTGGATGACCTAGCCATCTCTTAACATTTCTATAATTGTCACATGTCTGTATATCACGTCGAAGATTATGTTCCAAGTCCTGTTCTCTGGACACATCTAATTAATTTTCATGAAATCCTGTAGAATAGAAAGGGATAGTGGTTATCTCATTATAGAAATGAGGTAACAGCCCAACAGTAGCAATCAGCTCACACACGGAGTTAATGATACAGTCAGTAATACATCTCGGGTCGCCTGACGTTGATTCAACATCAGTTAATATTAATGGATCGTCCTCACGTGCATGGGAAGCTGGGTTCCCTAAGCCCCACCACCTTTGCACAGACCATGTGGCCTGAGTAGATAAGCCCCTCCTTTGGGGGGTTGTTTAAAGTTCTACACAAAGGCTGTTGGTTTTAAAGGAGGCTTATTAGTAGAATCCAAGCACTGTCTATGAACCACGCCTTTTGATGTCATTTTATGGCAGTATCTCACATAGCACGCTACCCACTCTCCAAGACAGAATGATCCCCTTGTCAACCACCAAACCTGCTCCTCCCCTTTCATTCCCCATCCCAGTTTGCATCACCACCACAGCCCAGATGCCAAGAAAAAACCTGCAAGTCATCCCTCACTCCACACATTAGATCCATCAACAGGTTTCATTGACTCTCTCCCCAGATGCCTCCTCCATCCCCACCTCCCCGACCTGGTTAGTCTCTAGCCCAGAGCCACTGTAGTAGCAGCCCAACTGGTGACCCTGCTTGCCCTTGTACCCACTGCAGAACATCATCTGTTCAGCAGCCAGACAAATCTGATCATGTTACTTTCCTGTTAATAAGCTTTCCATGTGTGGCTTCCCCCGCCTCATGCTTTATAACTCTCTGCTCTGTCTCTGACTTCCTCTTGTACCCCTCTCCCTCTCGTTTGCTCTGCTCTGGGAAGACTGCCTGGGCTTCAGACCCTCAAAGAGGCCACCCCTGTTGCCACGACAAGCCTCTAAACTTGCTTTTCCTTCTGCCTGAAAGGTTCTTCCCCTACCTCCTCGTGTGACTGACTCTGCATCATTTGGGGCCTATCTCCACTATCAGCTTCTGGGAGAGGTCTTCCCTGATCACCCCATCTCAGGCAGAACCCTCATCCTAGCCCCAGTGCCTTGCCACTGTCCGTTTTAAACTCTTACACTTTTTTGTCTTCTATAGAGCCTATTAATAGCTGAAATTATGTTATTTGTAATAATTTGTCTGCCTGTCTAATTATTTGCCTGTCTCTCTTCCCCACAAGAAAATAACTAGAGGGAGAATTTGTTTAGCTACTGCTGTATCCACTAGAGCCTATTATAGTGCCTGCCGCATAGTAGGTACTCAATAATTATTTAATGGACTTATTTCAAGGGGAAGCTGCCAGAAAGATGAAAAGGGCTAGGTCTGTATGAGTAAGTAGGAACCATTTCCCTCCTCCTTGCTGGGCTGCAAGCAGAACCAAGGAGTCTGTAGCTTTGTGCTGTTCAAGGAGGTGATGTGGGTGAAGACGATGTACCCATCCAAGTAGAGCAAGCTCCCTCACCGCTCCAGATTATTCATTTTTATTTGCTGGCTTAGCTCTTGCCTTTCTTTAAAGTGAAAATAAACTGGCCTGGGGCTCAGGGCTTGCGTACTCACTACAGCTTTTAGAAATAGAGGGCGAGGGAGAGGTGTGGACGGTCCGGGAGAGAGGTGATGACTTCAGGCATGTGACATCTCTGCGGCGATGGAGTGGCATAGGCATGCAGTAGTCACACTGAAGGGGAGGCTGGACGCGCGTCTGTTACGTGGACTCTGTGTCTTTTGGGGGGTGAGCAGTGGAATTAACGGAGGGTCTGAGAGCCCGTGCTTGAGCATGTGGCCTCTTTCCCCGCAGGTGGGTGAGGTACCCGCCTGGCTCGCCTCCGCCGGGACC